GACTGGGGAGAGAATTGGCCGGGGAGAAATAATGAGGATAATTCAAGTCATTTGGGAAGATGAGGTTTGCGAGGTGCCCAGCGTCTTCCACCTTTTACATGTTGTGTCTAATCATCCGCAATCTCGGATGGCCATTGATGGAGCTCGTTGCTGTGGCGACAGATGAATAGCCCTGGGATTGTACCATGCCAAAAAGGTGCCGTCCTTCCATCAAAACAACAACAACAACAAAAATATCATTTTGTTCAGGAAATTAAGCAGTTTGCAACCAAATAGCAGTGTCTGAAAGGGCTCCCACGTCCGTTCTCTCCTCCCGGCTTCCGCGGCCACATTGGGTTTGTCAGGAACATGCCCGGCGCCCTGGAGAGTCCTTTGTGTGCACCGGACAAGGAGAAGGTGGTAATTGCAAGGGGGTTTCTAACCCACTGAGCCTATTAAAAGGATTTTATGCCCCCCTACACCTCTCTTCTTCCCCAGATGTGTGTCAGACAGGCAGAGAGCATGGGGCATTGCGGCCTGGGGCTGGCACAGCACTAGGTTAATGTGTTAGCTGTGCAAGGTTGGGGCAGAACAGGGTCCAGGCGCTGGGGGAGAGGGAGGTGGTGATGGCCGTGGTCAGGGCAGGGTGTCGGGGCGCAGGTCCTGCTCCTCCCTTGGGGAAGGGGTGATGCTCAGCAGTGAGAGCCGGCACGGGGCTCCGGAGCTGCAGGAGGAGCGTGGCCGGCCGGGTGGGCAGCAACAGGGCTCCTGACATTGTCAGTCTCCATGGTTTTCTGTTTAAACTCCCCCCCATGCAATATGACCTGAGGCCAGATGCTCTCCTTCCTTCCCCACCGCTCGCGGAGCATCTCCTGGGGCGGCTGCTGGAGACGCTGCTCTCGAGCTGCAGCACAGCCCCTGGGGACAAGGCTGGGATGGGGCTGATTTGGGGTCTGCTCAACCAGGGATTGATCCCGGCTTTGGGTTTGCCTCTGGGGGTGAAGGTGTGTGACCCACCCGATTCTGGAAACCACACACGAAACTCCTGCCCCGTCTCAAGGCCCACGCTGAGGGCATTGCCCTTGTGGAATCCACGTTACCGCACGGGGCCGTGGCACACATTTTGAGCCAGGGGTCTGGTCCTTGCTGGCATCTTTGGTGCTCCCAAATACTGCCCACCAGCGATAGGATGTAAATAGTGTAATTCAGAGCTGTGTGACCCCCGACGCTCATCCTGCAAGAGAATAAGAAACCAAATACCCGTAGGGCAGGAATCCAGCTGGCAGCCTGGCAGAGCCCTGGGTTGCAGCAGGGTTGGAGCCAGCCCTTGCATGTTGGGGCAACAGGGAGGAGGAGGGAGAAGGAGGGATGGGCATGTGGAGAGAAAACATTTTATGGAGGGCCCTGAGGATGAGAAATGGGCCAAGTTCCTGCAGCTCCAGCTTCAATTTGGGTGACAGCCCTGGGCAGTGTTTTGCCAGCCATCCCCAGAGCCCTCCACCCTCCCTGGGATCAACGAGAGCCAGATGGAGACACATCTTGGCGGCGCAGAAAAAACGAGGCAGCGAAGCGGGCTGGGGAGATTAACTCCACGGGGAAAACAAGCTCAGCAGACGCTGGCGAGCTGAGGACGCCTGCGCAGCTGCGCGTGTGTGTTTGCATGCACATGTATGTGCTCCAAGCATACACGGGCACGCGTGTGCAGACGTTAAGTACTTGTGTGGGTGCAGATGTGTGTGTCCGGCAGAGCTGATGAACCAGTGTCTTGCCTTGGAGGGGCAGGCAGAGTATTGGAAATGTGTCCTTGTCCTTTAATTGCTCTGCTTTGATAACAGTGATAATTGGCTAGAAATCGATACTGTTTTGCTTCTGTTTTTCCCATCCTGTCTCACCCAGCTCTCCCCTCCCCGGATGCCTTGCTCCCTTTAGTGGAGTGACATTTAATGTTCTGCCATAGTCGTTAGATAACCCAGGTAGAGAAGATGCTTAGGAGAGGGCTGATGCAGCCAGGCCGTGGGTAGAGATGGAGGCAGCTCCCCTCTCTGCTGTCACGGCTCAAGGGCAGATGGAGATGATGTTCCAGCAGCGTGTCCCAGTGCTGTGGGAGTAACAGTGGTGGGCGACCGAAGCGGTTCTGGGCACAAAGGGAGAGCAGAGCAGGGAAGGGACAAATCCAGGCTGTGTCAGCCAGGAGCTCCCTCCGGCTTTGGCTCTGAAAATTGTGCCACAGCATCACGGGAAAATGTGTATTAATAGCCCCGCCGCTCGGCCTGCCCGGCTCTCCGTGCCCCACCAGTGCCCTCGCCCCATCCCCTCGTCTCCCCAGCAAGGTGTCCCCTGTTCCTGCCACGCTGCTCCAGCCACAGCTGGGATCTTGGAGCCTGCAAAGTCAGGCCACTCCTGGTCTCCTTGCAACTGCCCTCGCGGAGCAGTCCCAGTGCTTCACCTGCCCAGTCAGGGCTGCTGGGGGGTCTGCCCCCCGAAAAAACGCCCTCACCCCCCTCCTGTCCCACTGGGCTCTGTAAAGCCAAAGGGGCTGAAGAGCAGGACGGCAGTGCTGGAAGGTGCACTGAGAGCCCCCGGGGGCCAGGGGCACCCCAGGCTGGTGCTGGTGCCCCCAGGGCCACTGGTCCGCATTAGCCAAGTGACCATCGCTAGCCAAGTGACCCTCATTAGCCAAGTGACCCTCATTAGCCAAGTGGGGCTCCGGTGTCAGAGAGGGACCCGCTCCGCTCTGCAGGAGCGTGGGGCTGGCGCTGAGCGAGGGATGCCCGGGAGGGTGGAGGGTACGTGGGTGAGGGGCCGCATGGGTGCGGGGTGCGCGGGCACGCGTGTGCTCGCCTTTCCGTGGGAGCCTGGTGCCACCTGGTGGCCACAGCCCGTGGCTTGCGGGTCTCGCCGGGGCTAGCCCCACGGCAACCGGTGCTCTGGGGGCCGGGGGTGCCCAGGCAGCGACCTGCCCACCCCCTCAGCTGAGCTTATTCCCCATGCCGGGCAGCGCAAATAAATCAAAGTGCACCAGCAGACGCCTCCGCGCCACCAGCGCTGGCCCCGAGAGCCGAGACATGCCTCTGACACAAACAAAGGACAAGCAGAAACCCTGCACCGCCAGCCTGCCCTGGGCTTAGGGCTAGCCCAGCAGGTTTTTTCATAGCCCCCCCAAGCCAGGGAGATGGTGGAGAGACACCTGAGCAGGGCTTGGTGGTGGCTTCCCGTGAGTTTTGCTCCTGGGTGTTTCCTGAGCCCCAGCACAGTTGGGCAACTGGCACTTTTTGCGGGGATCTGCGTTGGGCACCCTACAATCACCAATTTGTCAGAGCAGTGGGGAGGCCTGGGGCACGGGCTTGGAGATGAATCAGCCCCGTGATGAGCTGGGGCATGACAACACCTGAGCAGAGCTTTGATTAATTAAAAAAAAAAAATATCATCCAGGGCTTGGAAAAGAGTAGCAGGACGGGGTTTCGGCTGGGAATCCCTTCTAGCTGGTGACCCCTGGAGCATCCCACCCTCCCTTTCCATTTGGGATGGCAACACTGACCCCTGGGCTCAGAAGTGATGCCCCGTGGGTCCTCGGGCTGTGGGGAAACAGTCTGGGGTGGGGCTGAGACTAAGTGTGGGTGCTCAGGCGGATTAATTCTGTATTGCAGCAGAAATGCGCGAGGGGCACCACTGCCCGCCGGCTCACCCCATACAGCTGGGGGTGGGTGTTCCCAGACCCTCTCCTACAGCTGGGGCAGAGCCAGCTGCATCCTGGCCCCTATAGCTGGGGAGGGGGAAGAGTGTTGCCCACCCTCTCCTCCAGCGGCTATAGGTGGGGGACCCCAGTCCTCTGCCCTATGGCTGGGGTCCAGCCAATATCTCAGCCCCTATAGCTGAAGTAGAAGGTCCTAACTCCCTCACCTGTAAAGGAATATCTGTGTCCCAGACCCTATAGCCTGGGGGACAGGGGTCTCAACACCCCCTCCTATAGCCTGGCTCTGACTGTGTCCCAGTCCCTACAGTGGGGGCTCCCAGATCCCCTCTCTATAGTGGAGTCTGGCTGTATCTCACCCCTTATACCCCACAGAGGGGGTCTCAGCCCCTTGAGCTATACACAGGGCACACCTATACTCCTGCCCCTATAGCCAGGGGGATGACAAATCCCTCCTCTATAGCCAGGGTGCACCTACATCCCAGGCCCTATAGCCAGTGGGGGTCACCACTTCCACCCCAATAGCTGGAGCACAGCTATACTCCAGCCCCTGTAGCCAGGGGGGGTCACAGCCCCCTCCCCTATAGCCAGGGCGCACCTATACTCCCTCTCCTATAGCCATGGGGATTGCAGCCCCCTCCCCTATAGCCAAGGCACACCTATACTCCCTCCCCTATAGCCGGGGGGGGTCGCAGCCCCCTCCCCTATGGTCAGGGCACACCTATACCCCCTCCCCTATAGCCGGGGGGGGTCCCAGCCCCCTCCCCTATAGCTGTGGGGATTGCAGCCCCCTCCCCTATAGCCGGGGCACACCTATACACCCTCCCCTATAGCCGGGGGGGGTCCCAGCCCCCTCCCCTATAGCTGTGGGTATTGCAGCCCCCTCCCCTATAGCCAGGGCACACCTATACCCCCTCTCCTATAGCCATGGGGGGTCGCAGCCCCCTCCCCTATAGCCGGGGCACACCTATACCCCCTCCCCTATAGCCATGGGGATTGCAGCCCCCTCCCCTATAGCCGGGGCACACCTATACCCCCTCCCCTATAGCCATGGGGATTGCAGCCCCCTCCCCTATAGCCGGGGCACACCTATACCCCCTCCCCTATAGCCATGGGGATTGCAGCCCCCTCCCCTATAGCCAGGGCACACCTATACCCCCTCCCCTATAGCCGGGGGGGGGTCGCAGCCCCCTCCCCTATAGCCGGGGCACACCTATACCCCAGCCCCCACAGCCGGGCATTCCCGGCCGCGCCAGCGAGCCCGGTCCCTGTCCCGTTCCCGTTCCATCCGTCCCGCCCGGGCCGGGCCGGGCCCTCCCCGGGGGAGGGCGCTCGGGGGCCGCGGTCCCGCCGGCCGCGCCCGCCATGTTTCCCGGCAGCCCGCCCTGTCCGCCACCCGCCTGAGCCTCCCGGCGGCCGGCCCGGCCCGGCCCGGCCCGGCGGCCCCCCCCGCCTCCGCCGCCGGTGAGTGGGGCCCCGTGGGGCCCGGCGGCCCGGCCCGGCCCGGTCCGGCCCTGCCCGCCGCCGCGCAGGCCGCAAAGCCTCGGCCTCGATTTCCACCGCGGGCGGGGAGCGGGGCGCCGGGCCCGGCCGAGGGAAGGGGGGGGGGGGGGGGGGGCGGGCACGGGCAGACATGTCCCCCGGCGGAACGGCGGCCTTGGAGCGGGTCGGCGGCTGGTGCAGCCCAGCCAGAGGGTGACGGGGTGGACGGGTGGCCTGCGGCTTTCCTTGGCCGAGCGGCGAGTTACCCGGCTCGCTCCGGCCTGCCCAGGCTCGGGGTGCCGGGGCAGAGCAGCGGGAGAGGGAGCGGTTTGGTTTGCCCCGCGGTTCATTTCAGCTGGTTTTGCGGTAAAGCCCTGTGCTGCTCGGCTCCCGCTGCAGGTCACCCACCGCTGGGCTGCTGGCTAAAGGAGAGCTGAACTCTTTTGAAGTCGCAGCAGTCGTTGCCTTCTCTTTCTAGGGACGCTCAAAATCAAAAAGAAGATTTGCCCGTGTGCAGCAGTGATTACCATCCAGTTACCTCCACAGAGATTCAGCCTGCCAGGTCTGCTCCCAGAGGGTCTGGTGCGGAGGAGGGTCCCTTGGCTGCCGGTGCCGAAGGAGAGGTCGGTTTGGGTTGGGAAGGACTCCTGGGCTGGTAATGGGAATGCTGGTCTGAGCCCTGAGTGCAGAGCAGAGATTCATATCACCCAGTCGAGGACAAGGAAGAATAAACAAGAGCTGATCCACTTCCATCCCACGGGACTGCTTCTGGGAGGGTAATTATTTCATGTTCCCATTGTTTTATTCTCTCAGCAGAGCAAGTTTTATGGGAGTGTGAAAGAAAGTGGCAGAGTTAGCTGTGAAGTGGTGGATACTTTGTGCATCTGCCGCGCTGGGAGAAGGGGATCGCTGCTGGGGACTCTCACCAGCAATGTCGTGTCTTTGTGCCCGAGCTGGAGCCGCCTGCACCGCCGCGGTCCCACAAATGCCCTCTCCCCTGGTCCTCTGCCGAAGTTTGGTCGGCTGCTGCCATGTTGTTCGCATACATGTGAATTGGTGTTTGTTGTTGCCGGGAGTTATTGCTTATGGTTCTGGTTTAAAAGGGTGCAGTGCTGTTTGGCTGTCTAAAGGCTATACCACGTGTGGCTGGAAGGGGACGGTTTCTGGGCCTGTGATCCAGAGAGGAATTACTAAGATTTGTTTTAAAAGTAGGTTTCACTGTGTCTGCTGTTTCCCCTGGGAAGGTGTTCCAGAATTGTATCTCACTGCTGGGAAGAAACCTTATCCTTATTTGCGGCCTAACTATGCTGACGTTCCCCTTATCCACCAGCATGTGTCGGGAAATACATGAGTATGTCAAAACTGAGAGTCAGTGGGGTTTTTTTTGCATCACTTACATCATCTTCCTGAGAATAGAGAAGTAAAACAGGCTTGAAATTAAACGCTGCTAAGCACAGAATGTAACTACTTAGGCTGGACACTGGCTGTTTGAGTGGTGTTCTTTGTTTCGGAGTTTGCAGGAGTCATTAGTTGTGCTACGATGGCGCTTCTTGTTACTGTTGGAGAGCAGATCGTTCAGGTCTTATGTGCTTGTCGTCCTTCACCGGGAGTTTAGGGAGCCTCGTGGTGCGAGGAGGGAGTACCGGGAGCCAGTTGCTGTCAGCTTTTCAGCCTGGCTCTGGGCAGCCTTCTGGCTGATGAGCTCCGGATGGCTCAAGGCCCCAGAACCCGGATCCTGTGGCTACTTACGAGCCCTGAGTATCCCGTGCTCAAGGGACTCCAGTTGTGTTGTTGTGCACGTGTGGAACCGGACTCTCTCGGGATCCTTTGTGCTCCTTCCTGATCAGCTGCAGCATACAATGTAGGAGCGCTCCGGCTCTAACAGCTGTCTCATTTTTATTCCTGTTTGTAGCTTGGCACCTTGGAGGAGGAAGGATGGCTCAGGAGACAAACCAAACCCAGGTGCCTCTGTTGTGTACCACAGGCTGTGGATTTTATGGCAGCCCCCGGACCAACGGGATGTGCTCCGTTTGCTATAAGGAGTTTCTACAGAGACAGCAGAGCAGTGACCGGATCAGCCCCCCAGGTAGAGGATTTTTGTCTGAGAAATCTATCTTAAATGGGTGCCTGGATGCAAACTGTGTTAAACAACTGGATAGAGCATGGTATTAGTACTGGCCAGCAGCAGATTTACTCCCTCCTAGAAAACTCATGTCTTTCCCTTTTCACGTAGACCCAAGCTTCTAAATCAAAGACCTGAGATTGAGCATTTCTGTTAACTCTAAGGGAGTCAGTTATTTTCTTCCCAGTCCCAGCTGTTTGTGAAGCCCCGTCCCAGTCAACACCTTCCAGCAAACTGTAAAACTTCACTTGTGCTAACAGTGACACAGATTTTTAGCTATTACCTGCTCCCTGAGTAACATGCTGACTGTTGGGAACCACGATAATCCCTGGAATTAAATTTTATTTGGGAAGAATTGGGCCTTTTGGGTTTGTATAATTTTCTTATCTTAACAGCAGTGACAATCAAAAGCTATGACGTAAAAGGTTTGTTTCTTATAGCTGACACGTCACCACACGGGGAGGCAGCGAGGTGCACAGAAAGGATGCTCTTTCCATCATTAGCAGGATTTTCTTTTACTGAAAGTTTGTGCAGATGCCTCATGTATAGACTGCAATACTGGTGAGAAACACCTTCTAAAGATCTACTGCAGTTTTGTTCCTCAGTGTAATAATGGTTTTTCTTGAATTACCCCCACAAAATATATATTAGGAACACAGCTTGTCCTAACAAAGGGTTTTTCCTAAAGATCCTGACTTAGATCCTCAGCTGACATAAACCAACATGTTTTGATTGAAGCCAGTTCCTTTCAGCAGATGAGGATCTGGCTCTTGTATCTTGGAGAAGTTGCAGAGTAACATTGGGCTCAAGGTATGTTGGCATCTGCAGCACTTTCACTTACACTGATAGGAGAATATTTATGCTGATGCAGAGTTTGTTTTGCAACGCTGAGGAAGAGGAGAATCAAAGAATGATGGAGGTGTCAAGGGTGACTGCAGTTAGATTTTATCAGACGTTAAAAAAACACACAGTAATGGAAGGCATTCAGCACATAACTCCTGTGAATCAACTGTCATCCCTCAAAATGGAGCTTGCAGATCTTGAGGAGAACAGATCCCTAAACGAGGCCTGCGGTTCTCAGGAAAATGAGCAGCTAATTTCAGAGGGATGTTATGATCCTCATACAAGGACTTGTTCCTGGTCTAATGTAAGAATAGCTGCGCTGGGTCATGGGGAGGTCCATCCAGGCCTGATGTGTTATCCCCACCCTGCTGAAAGTCCTCATCTTGCTTTCTCCTTGGCTGTCAAACACCTGAGGAACTTGTTGATATTTTTAAGAGTTTATGAAGACTGTGATCTTGTTTTGTAGCATCCAGTGGTCCCAACAGCAGCCCCATGGCTTCAGATTCAATTGCAGGGCAGTGTGCTGAGGGAGACTCCACGCCTGAGGATGCGAAAGCCAGGTAGGGGCACAGTCTGGTGGGGAAGGATCTACAGCCACGCTGAAAAACAGCTCTGTGACATAAGGGTCCCAGAGGAGACCAGAGGCTCCCATCCTTTGTATGGTCAAGGGGATCTGTAAATCAGGCTGGATCAAACAGTGTTCATTGTGACCCTGGTTTGTCTGGAAGATTGGGGTGTCCCTGATGATGATGACTGATGTGTAGAGTCAGGTACCAGAGGGTTGGTGGTAAATTAAAACCTGTAGTAAAGTAAGTGGCATCCTAGTTCTCTTGGAGCTAGTGCACCTTGTCTGTTACTAGCTGTATTAAACTGTTTGGTTTCAACTCAGACCTAAGCGAAAGCACCTGGTGATGATCCACTCTGGAAGCCGCAACGGAGGATTAAGGACCTCACTCACGTTTGATAGGAAAGAAGATAGTACTGCACTGGCCTCTATCATTGCATCACAGTCCTAACTCATAATTCTGTTTCCCTGTCCTTGGACTTGTTTGGATGGGCTGTTGCCTTGGCTTTGATACATAATTGGGTGGAAAAGGAAACTGAGATCAGCACAAATTCATTCCATTTGTGTCTGTAAAGAACTTTGGTGCCAGATGTTAAGGAGAATTGGCCTGCCGTACTCCTGAGCTACCTCTGAGTATAATGAAATTAACTTTATGGGTTGAAGATCTCTCCCACCTAACTATTCAGCAAAAGAAAATACTTGTGTTTGCTCTGTGGTTTATTTGTTTGTTTGTTGCAAATGCTCCCAGTGCTCAGACTCCTGTGACCCATCAGATGACGGCCATGAGCATATCCAAAGAAAGCAGCAATGAGACAGAAGAATTCATCAAGACAGAAGCAGCCTCATCAGCATCTTCCTCATCAGGTAGACTGATTGGTTTGGCTTTTGCACAAGTCTGAATGACACCTGTCTCACAGGTCAGTTTGAGCAGCAAGTACAATACTGGCTGCTAACTCCAGGGGACAGTTGTTACCTCCCAGCAGTAAAGGTACACCTAGCAAGAGAGCTACGGAGAAAACAGTTTGTCTGTTTCTGAAACAGAGAGGAGAGAAAATGCTGTGCCTGAGGGCAGGCCGATAGAGATTGCTTTGTGGGCTGAGGGCTGAGTAGCTGCCAGCCCTCGACTCGCTGGCAGGAGGATAATCTTCCATGACGCCTATCCTAGTGAATGGCAGAAAGCCCGGAGCGTCCCACAGCCTGCTGCACGGCTGTTGTTGGCTGCAGTTCCCTGCCATCTCTCGAGGGAGGAAAGGAGATGGATCCAGTGTAGTTTTGGGAGAGAGGAGGTGTGTTTTGTGATGGTGCCCAAGGGCAGCTGCCGGCCTGGTTGTTGTCGTCCTGTGTGCTGGGAGGCATTCCTGCCCCTCGGAGGGGAGCGTTAACGCTGTCGCTTTGTTTGCAAAGTGGGTACCTTGAAGTGATAGAGAGGCACCAGTGGTGTTGCTCGGTGGGGTACATCCTCCAGTTGATGAGTTACAGGGTGAGCTGTTGCATTGGAGCTGAGCCACAACCAAGTGGCACTGCATTGGAGACGCCCTCCTTTAGTTCAGCTGACGGTTTGCTTGCATTCAAAGCTAAAAAAAACCCCAAGAGTTGTTGGTTGCTAACAAAACAGGCCGCAGGCACTGCACATGACTCTGCATTTTGGATTTGGTAATCCCTTCCCTGCAAGCCCAGGAGACAATTTGCAGCAGGCAGGTGAGAGACTATTTGGTGAAAGAGAGGCTTGGAAGAGCCTGCCCCTTTCTTCTAATTGTGATTTTTAGAAAGTTGTTTAGGGTCAGATCTACAAAGCTGCCTCTGACTGTTTGTCTCCTTAGCCTGATTTTCAATGGCCTGCACTGCAGGTGTGTATCTGCTAGCAGTTGGAGCTCCTCCCTCCTGTTGACTTCTCTAACCTGCTTAGGTACTGTAGGAAATCCTGCTAAGCGTCAGTGACCTTTAACAATCTGGCTTTCAGAGCTCAGTTTTCCTTTTGGTAGATTAGAGACGGTGATGAGTATCTGTGTAAAGCATTCCGAGACCTACATATGAGGAACACTTACATAAGAGTCAGCAGAAATAATTAGTAGTACTTAAAAGGGGTTAACTTTTTTTTTTTTTTTTTCTACAAAGATTAACTCTAGGCTCAGCTGTGCAGTTGAGTCACTGTACATCAACTAAGCTGTAGGGACTATCCAGATGCATGCTTAACCTATGGCAAGCACCAGGTAATTCTACTTAGTGTTACCTTTTCTCAGCAGGAGCGAAAAAGCATCACGTTACTTTATGTATGCCTTAGTGAAACCGTATCTTCTTGGTGTTTCTGAGGCTTGGGCTTAAGGAATTTGAAACGGAGAAAAAACATGAGGCTGCGTGAGGTGTAGATCTCTGTGGAACAAGGCAAATCTCACAGTTTGGGGTGTGTCAGCCAGGGTAACATGCACACAGGTGTCTGGCACAGACCTAGAATTAGTAGGGCCTTAATCAGCTCCTGTAATAAAGCGAATGTGTTGCTTGGTTTATCAAGAAGGGTAGCAAAGCTCTTGCCTCTGTTTCAGGTACCCTGCTTGAAATATCCCAGAACACAGCTGAGGGTAAGACAGCTTCGGAAAAACCGAAACAGAAGAAGAATCGCTGCTTCACTTGCCGGAAGAAGATAGGGCTAACTGGTAAGTCCCTGGCTGTGGGAAAGCTTGCTGGTGGTCTAAGTAGTCTGGGTTCATAGCCCTGCGGTCAGATCTGCTTGTGCCTGAGTTCAGAGGGTCGGCGTGGGTCAGTGGCTGGAGGTACCCCTCCAAAAATTACTTCTCATCTGCAAGATGTGGCGCTGCAGGAGAGGTGGGACAGAAGCTCTGACCTGCAAACAGTGCTGTCCGAGGCCATCACCTGGGGAATCTGCCACTCACTGTCAGGGTCCCTGCCAGCCCTGGGATACAGGGTTGTGGAACTGGATGGAGCAGTGCCTCTCGGGTTATTTCTGCCACTTGGCAAAAGCTGCTTGTAGAAGCAAAGGCAGTGCTGGCTGTGGATCCAATTCTGCTCCTATTCAAGTCAGTGCTAAAGCTTTCATAGTAGTGGCATGAACTGAGTTAGGCCCAAGCTGAAAGTCCCACTCCAAGACTCATCCCATTTGTTATTGCTACTTGACTTCCACCGTTAGCTTTCTGAGAGCAGGATGGCTCTCAGCGTTCAGCCCGTAAAACTGAAGAGAGAACCTCTGAGATGGTGTCGGGTGACTGGTATCAGTGGGAAAACTGCCCCTGGAAAGTGAAGCAATTAACTTGGCTGTGGTTTGTTAATAAAAACATTCCTCTAAATTGACCCTGGCATTTAGTGTTTCCCTGGAAAAAGTTAACTCTGGAGCCGTGCAGGTCATGCTGTTCTAGCAGAGCGCTTGCCTCTTTAGCATCCCTGGTGTGTTCAGCAGCCAGGGACTGCACACACACTTCTCTTTTCACTGATGTCAGCTGCTTTGGCAGAGTCCAGCCCGGGAGGTTTGCCCAGTGCCTGGCACGGTGGAGCCCAAGTTTGCCTGGAGATTTGAGGGCGCTGTCCTAGAATAATTTTGGCCTGAGACTGGGCAGGGTGGTCTGTGCCCAGCCTTCAGATCTACAGGGTGGATTGTTTTCCTGGATGAGTATTTCCTTAAGAGCTTCAAACTGTGAGAAGTCTCCTCTCCTTTAGGAATCAACTTGTAGAGAACTCTATGAATTCAGGGCATTTAGGATAAAATGAGTTTTCTCAAATAAAGTAAACAGGCACCTTGTAGCAAGGTGTTTATGGTCTTTACAGCCTATAGTTGGAAAGATGTGAAAGGAAAGAGCGTGATTCACTGCCAGCGAGGTGGGGAGCTGATCTGCTACCCTGCAGCAAACCCCCTCCCTGCCGCAGTGTGCTGTGGTAACAGTAGCACTCCTGAACAGCATTGTCTCCGAGTGGTGACTGAATTACGAATTTTGAAGCCTAAATAGCTCAAAAGTGATCCTAACAAGGTGAAGGTTTTGCTGCTTTGCTGGCTTACTGCTGGTCAGTCCAGATGCTGCTGCATGACGCCTGGGGAGCCCGGCTGGCTCGGAGGGCTCGGCTCCAGCTCAGGCTGCCTGCTCGCTGCCTGGGGAGCCTGGTCTGGATTAGCAATCTGGCACTCTGCAGTCCCCAACGTGTCCCTTGTCCCCGGGAAGCGCGGAGAGCAGCTGCTCTGGGAGCCTTTTCCCGCGCTGCGACAGCTGGGGCTGCCCAGAACACGCGTGCGCTCAAGGGAGCTGCTAAGCCAGATGAAATCAAAGAGCCACCCGTGTTCTTCCCCCCACCCTGAGACTGCCTTTCGCCTGTCAGGGACAGCAACCCCCTCCCTCATCTCACCCTCTTTCTGCATTAGTGGAGTTTCCTGGCCTGGCAGGAAAGAGCGGGCGCCCTGTCACCTTCCTGTCCGGCTGGACGGGGACTAACAACAGCTTTGTCTCTCTGCTCTTCCTCCCTTCAGGCTTCGACTGCCGCTGCGGGAACCTCTTCTGTGCCATTCACCGGTACTCCGACATGCACGCCTGCCCCTACGACTACAAGGCAGAAGCTGCTGAGAAGATCCGTAAGGAAAACCCCATCGTTATCGCTGAGAAGATCCAGAAGTTGTGAAGGGGGCTGAACAGCTCGAACTGCAGCCAGGTGACCTGGTGCTCCTCCCCTTCCTCCCAGCCTTCCTCCTCTTCCTCCCAGCCTCCCAGGTGGTGCAGTGGGGACTCCAGCAGCCCACAGGAACCAGCACCCGGACATGGGGACGCTTTGCACCTCTGTGGCAGACAGTTGGTGTTCCGTCTCTCCCTTCCTGCCTGTCTGACAGTCACAGCTCAACTGATCTGTTCTCTACCAGCTTCCCAAAGGAAAAGGGACCGTCCTGCCCCGCTGCTCCAGTGCTCAGATCTTTGGACTTGTCTTCCGGTGGGGCGGTTTGCACGGCGTGGGCAGCCGGGCTCTGCCGGGCAGCCTTTCCCTTCACCCAGCAGCTCTTGAGTCCTGCGAACCGCCTGGGATTCACAGCTGGAGCCTGTGAGCAGCCGCTGCACTTTGTCCCCTCGGCCCCACTCTTTGTTTGTGGCAGATGTAAAACCGGGAGTTGGGGAATCCCAGCAGCAAGGCTGCCTTCTGCTCCCTGAGAGGCGTTTGGTCTCCGATGCAGAAAAGATGATTCTGTAGTTTTAACGCCCCAAAATACCCCTCCCCTCCCTTTGAGACGCTGTTGTTGAAGCACTGGGATGGTCAAGCAGCAGAGTACTGGCACAGTAAAGTTATTTTGTGGCTTGAAGCGACGTAGACACGCTTTAGCCGCAGGTCAGGACCTTTAGGAAAGTACCGCTCGCTGCCTCGTGCCTCTCGCCGCAGGGAGGGAGCCAGCCTGCTGGGTTTGCTGCATCCGAGGACGTGGCTGGGCTGTGGGACGCCCTTGCGCCAGCCTCCCGTGCTTCAACACCCCCTGAATAACCGCTGGCCGCTTCCCAAGCAAGGTTTGTTGCAACCCAGTGGTGCCTGCCCCTCTCCTCTTCCCCCCCCTGCTCCCCGCCTTCTGCCTTACACGATTCTTTCTCATCAGGGCTGTGCACAAAGCTCAGATCGCCAAACCTCCGCTTCCTTTCCTGCGTGCAGGCGGATGGCGGGGACCCTTCCTCCCCCGTGGGCTGATATTTCTCCTCTGTGAGCACAATGGCTCAGGAAGCCCACCTAACTGCCTCGCTCTCCTGCCTCACTGCTTGTCCCCGTGGGTTGAGAGGCAGGACCAGATCCCCAGGAGATACTCTGAAAGCCACACAGGGATCTGGGGCACGGGGAAAGGCACATGAAGAGTCACAGTGAAGGTCCTGGGGTACCCAGAAGAGCAGATGGAGACTTGCAGAAAATCCCACAAAGAGCCCTGGGGAGCAGGGAGAGGCACTGACAGACTCGTGGAGTTCTCAGGGGTGCTGGAAGACTCAGGGAGAGCTCCAGGGTGCAAGGGAAGGCAAAAGGAGAGTTTTGGGGTACAGTGAACACACTCAGAGAACTTGAGCACCCCAAAAGGCACCTGGAAGGCTCTGGGGTGCACACACACGTGCTTGTGGAAGGCTCTGGGGTGCAGGGAAAGCCAAATGCTGGGCTCAGTAGTGCTCCAGAAAAAAACATGTGGGAGGCTCTGGGCTGTTAGAAAGAAAAACACCGGGCTTGGGTACACAGCGCAAGGCAGGCAGCAGCTCCTGGGGCGCCCCAGAAGCCACCTGCCCCCCACGTAGGGGCTGCGCCTGCCCCCGGGGGGGTTCCCCTTCCTGGGAACAGCAGGAGCGGGGCTGCAGTCTGACGAGCAGAGGAACCCAGATGTGTCCCCGGGGAGAAGCAGCAGCCTCTGCCCCGCTTCTGGCCGTCCCACGCTTTGGAAGCGTTTCCCTCGGCATCGGCTCGTCCAAGGGCATCGGAAAGCAGAGCTGCAGGGGGGGAAATCTCAGCAGCTGCTTCCCGCTGGCAGTTTCCACCCCAGCTTATGGCCACTCTGCCCCCGTGATTGCAGGGGGATTGTGCCGAAGGTTTTGGGGTTTTTTTTATCCGCTTTCAGCCAAAGTGGTGTGTGCCCTGTGGCAACTACTGTTGTGTGGCGTTGCTGGGAGGATTCAGACCTCCAAAAACGATGCAAATCCCCTGCCAGCACGGAGTGGAGGTGAGGCTGGCTCTCGACAGCCTTTTCCTCAGGTTTTTTTGCTTCCAGGCAATGTCGCTGTCACGGCCAGAGCACGCGAGTGGCGGCACGTTTTAGTGCTGGGACACACCTGGGCCGTAAGCACGGCGCCGGTGGTGTGTGGCGAGGCTGGGGTTTGCCGTGGAGGTTTTGGCTGAGAATGAGCTGTCGCTTTGGGGGAAAGCCATGAAAAACTGCAACGCCCTCTCCGATGCCTTGCGTTTGCACGAAGGTCGCGAGCCCCTGGGGAGGGGACGCAGCTCCCAGGGGCGCAACGGGAAAGCCCGCGCAGCAAAAGGGCAGCCGCCTGCTTCTCCACCACCTCCCTTTCCCCTTTTGTTTCCTTCCTCTTCATAAGTGTAAATATTAATACAGTCTAGTTTGCTTGGATGTTGTGGGTGGTTTATTATGGGTGCGGATGTGTCACATGCTGGCGCCGGTTTAGCTCTGGGCTCTTCTGGGGTGACTGTGGGGCTCCGTGCCTCAGTTTCCCCACGGATAATAACTGCCCGCGTGTGGCGCGCCCCACTCCTGGCACCCCGACTCCCAGTTTCTCTCCTCACCATCCCAGTACCCAGCCGGTATCCAGTTCCCCAAGGCTCTGGGAGGCCCAAATTCTCCTTTGGACCAGGTGGGGAGCGGATTCCCCCTTGGTGGGGGAGCTGCTTTCTCCACCCGCGTTTGCAGGGCTGGGGAGCTGCTTTCTCCACCCGCGTTTGCAGGGCTGGAGTGGGACCCCACGGCGCTTGAGACCGAGGCGGGGGGGGGGGGGGTGCGGTTTGGGCGCAGGCCTAAGAGCCGGGTGGGACCTCAGGAAGGCCCAAACCGCCTTCCCCACCCCGTATCCATTTTAGAGGGAGCTGGGCTGCGTTTGGCATCCGGGTTTTGGGGGGGGGGGGAGGTGGGGCGGGATCCCGGCCCCGCGTGGCCTCCGTGGGAGGTTTCGTCCCTCCGTGCCGGCACCGCGCAGGGCAGCCCCGCGGGAAGGCCGCGCCGTTGCCGTGGTAACGGGGGGCAGGGAGAAAATGCGTCACTTCCGGGAGATGCTAGAAGGGCGGGGGGGGGGGCCTCTGTGCAGCGCCGCCCCCGCCTCGGAGGTCCCGCAGCGGCCGCCCCGTCCCTTCGGCAGCCCCGAGCGCGGGGGGGCCCGGCCGGGCGCGGCGGAGCATGTCCGGGTACGGAGGGGGGGGAAGCACGCGTGGGTGCTGGGGGTGACTGTGGGGGCGGCGGGGGAACAGGTCCCGTGGGGCGAGAGGGAAGGGGGGGGGGGGGGGGGGGGGGGGCGGCACACGGCGTACATGGGTCAGTGGTGGGGGGTGTCCCGCACCGGTTTGTGCGTGGGTGTGGGGGGGGGCCCCACCCAGGTCAGTGTGTGGGTGTGGGGGAGCCCGCAGCAGTCGGGGGGGGGGGGGGTGCCACGCAGGTCAGTGGGTGTGTGGGCCCACAACGGTCAGTGCAGGGGTGTGGGGCCCACGGTGATTGGGGGGGGGGGGGGGGCGGGGTTCCACAGTCCCACACCGGTCAGTTTGGGGGGTGTAGGGGGGCCCACAGCAGTCCCACGCTGGTCGGGGGGTGGGATGTGTGGGCCCACAATGGTCAGTGGGGGAGTGCGGGGCCCACAGTGATCGGGGGGGGGCGGGGGGGGTGTTCCACAGTTCCGCATAAGTCAGTGTGTGGGTGTGGGGGGGGCCCACGCTGGTCAGTACGTGGGTGTGTGGGAGCCCACAGCAGTCGGGGGGGGCATGCAGGACAGTGTGTGTGTGGGGGGGGCCCACCAGGCAGTATGTGTTTGGGGGTGGGGGGGACGCCCACAGTCCCACACCAGTCAGTGTGTGGGTGTGGGGGGACCCACAGCAGTCGGAGGGCCCACGCAGGTCAGTGTGTGGAGGGGGGGGGACACCCACGCCAGCCGTTGAAGGGGGAGGCCCATGCTGGGGGCACCCACTGGTCAGTGGGAGGGGTCCTACACGGGTCAGTGTGGGTCTGGGGGGGGTGGTCCCACGCGAGTCAGGGTGTGTCTGGGGGTCCAACAGCAGTCGGGGGGGGGGCCCACGCAGGTCAGGGCGTGTGGGGGGGACACCACCCCCACCCCACCAGCCAGTGGGAGGTGAGAGGCCCATACTGGTCAGTGTATGTGGGGAGGGGGGGGGGGTCCCACATGGGTCAGTGTGTGCTGAGGGGCACCCAGTGGTCAGTGTGGGAGGGTGTCCCACTCAGGTCAGTGAGTGGGTGCAGCGTGGATCCCCACCTCTGCCCGTGGGGTGAGCGTGTGTGTGTGTGTGTGTGTGTGTGGGTGGATCCTGCCCCCCGCACTGGCTGTGGGGCGAGGGCAACCGGGCAGGCAGGGCCGCTTACCCACGGGGGGCTGGGGGTGCGTGTCCCCAGGGGGTGCCGGGGTTCGGCCGAGGGGGGTGACCCCCCGGCAGCCCCTGCCCACGCGGACCCACGCCCCGCCGTGCCCCCGCAGGTTCTGCGGCCACCGGCCACCCCGCTCTGCCGGGGGTGCGGGTGGTCCCGCCGGCACACGGGGTTGCCCAACCCGGGGCTGACACCGCTCCGGGTGGCCACCGGCCCGCGTTATGGGGGGGGGGGGGAAGGACACCCCGAATTCAGCCCTGGCCCCCCGAAGCGCAGGGCCTGCCGCGGGGGCCGGGCCACGGCGCATCCCTTCGCTCCAAATATTTCGGCACCGCACACCTTCCCCTCTCGGCTGGGCGGGAGGCCTCCCCCTCCCACCCTTTCCTCGCCTTCCCCAGCCCTTCGGAAGCAGATGGAGCAAATTCCTCGGGGTGTGGGCTGGTTTGACATTCCTCAGTGCGAGTCGGTGCCCAAACTTGCAGAAAATAGTTGCTTTTTTTAAATTTTTTTTTCTTTTTTTTTTTTTTGGGGGTGTGTGTGTGTGTGTGTGTGTGTGTGTGTGTGTGTCATTTTTTCTCCCCCCTCCCCTTTTTTTCTTCAGGAGCTCAGCGCTCCTGCCGCACGCCTGTGTGGCCCCCGGCCAAGGGCTGGGGGGGGTCCTGGGGGGGGGGGGGCTGTGTCCTTTGTACCACCGCCCGTGCGGCTGTTGTGGAGTGTGTGTGTGTGTGTGTGTGTGTGTGTTTGTGCGCCTGCCGTCCTCCTCTCCCCGGCGTGGGCCTGCGCGCGGGGGGCCGCGCTGCGTGGCGTGGGGCGGGGGGGCGCGTGGGCTGCAAAGCCTTGAAGGAGGCTTGGTTTTGGGGGGCGGTGCGGGCGTGGGGAGCTGCGAGCGGTGGGTGTGCGTGTGGTAAAGGGAAGAGGGGGGGACGGCGTGCCCCTCGCCTCATGGTGGGGGGGTGCGTGTGTTTGCCGGCACGTGGGTGTGCCGGGGAGGTGCGTGGCTGTCCCCAGCTGTGGGTCGTGCGTGTTTTGTTTTTTTTTTTGGGGGTGGGGTGGGGTGTGTGTGCCTGTTGCAGAGCCCTCACTGCTGCCTGACCTGCCCCGCAGGCCACCGCTGCTGCCCGCAGCCGGACGGATGGCGGCCGCCCCGGCCCGCGGCGGAGTGCCGGCGGCAGCCGTGCCCAGGGCCAGCTGAGGACGTGGGCCTCTCCGGGCGGGCTGTCTGATTCGGATCCTCCCTCGCTCCGGGCTTTTCACCTCAGTCGCTGCCGCCGCCGTCATGAACGGGCTGTCGATCAGCCAACTCTGCTGCCTCTTCTGCTGCCCTCCCTGCCCCAGCCGCATCGCCGCCAAACTGGCCTTCCTGCCCCCGGAGCCCACCTACGCCGTGGTGCCCGAGCCCGAGCCCGTGGGCAGCACCAGCACCGGCTCCCTGCGCGGTGGTGCCGCGGGGCGGTGGAAGCTGCACTTGAAGGACCGGGCGGATTTCCAGTATTCCCAGCGGGAACTGGACAACGTCGAGGTGTTCGTCACCAAAAGCAGCCGAGGGAACCGCATCGGCTGCATGTATGTCCGCTGCGTGCCAGGAGCCAGGTGAGTCGCCCGTGGATGCGCCGGCCCGGCGCTGCTGCCGGCGGTTTGACCCTGGCCTGCTCCACGTCGGGCTGGTGCGGCGCCGGTGGGCACGGCGCCATCCTGCCCCCTCCCCTCCTTCAGCCGGGTGCCACCTCCTCGCCCCGGCGCCTTGCTGAAGCCGTGCCACGGGGCTTTGGAGGCATCTCGTGGGGCGGGTGAGCTCAGCTCCCGGGACCGGTCTGGCTTGTGGCTGCAGCTGGGAGCGGGGTTAAACGTGGAGCGGAGGCAAAGCTGGAGGCTCTAGGGACGTCGGGATTTACTCGGCTGTCCCTCGGGTCGCCCGATGTCACGCCCGTGACGTAACGCTCCAGTTGTGAACCGAGCATCCGTGTGAGGCTCTGTGAGTGCCGGGGGATCTGTGCCGGCTGCTCGCCCCCCCAGCCCCGCGGTGACCGTGCGGATGGGCGAGAGCCTGCGCCGAACCGGGTCTGCACGTTTAGTGTAATTCACGGGCCCGTTTGATTCCCCAGGGAGAGCGTTAGGAGCGAAGGCCAGGAGGGGGGTTTAGGCACAACCTGCTGCCGGTCCATCCCCACTGGGAAGCTGGAGAAGGGCAGCCCGGGGGTGCGAGATGGAGGCCCCCTCCCAGCTGCTGGTGGCTAGGCACGAGGGGATGGCGTGGGGACAGCGGGGGGACTGGGCAGCCGCTCCCCGAGCTGGTGGCACAACGTGGGGGTACGGGTGTGGAGGGAGGGCTGGTCTCAAAGCCTGCAGCACCCTGACTGACCCCCCACACCGGTATCTTCCTGGGAGCAATTCACCCTCCAGGGAACGGCGTCCCCCGCGACCTTTGTGTGGGGGGGAGTGCAGCCCACGTGTGCCCTCGGCTTCTTGCCAAGGGCTTCCAACCCACTGGGTGGGCTTGGGGCAAGGCGGGGTGGCTGTCGCAGGGACCGGAGAGCCGCCTTCCAGGAGGCCTGCGCAGGCTGCCCGGCGGGGACATCCGCTCCCTCCCTGCCTGCGTCGTGCGTCCCCGGAGAGAGGAAACCGTCGGCGGGATTGCTCTGCCTGCACATCCGCCTGCCCGCGCCCCGGCCCCGCGCCCCGCCAGCCCCCCGGGACCAACCGTTCGGCACAGGCTGCGGGGCTGGAGGGAAGGGCCTGGGCTGGGGGGGCACAGATCCAGCCCTCCCAAACCCGCCGGGGTATCGGCTCTCACTCGCTCTCTGTCCTCCCCGCAGCTCATCCTGCCACCGTCTGCCTTCTGCGGCATCCGGGCTGGGACGCGGTGGCTCGAGCTGGTCACAAACCTCTCACACCAACTGTGGGGGCTCAGCCTGGAGCGAGTCCGGCTCCCTCCTTCCAGCAGAAGAGAGCCAAGCTTCCATCAATGTGCTATTAGTGTTAATTTTTATGATTAACATTGTTTTTCCCCTTATGGTGGAAATTTCTTGTGCCTT